GTCCATTTAAATTCAAATAACAATTAACGTTAAAGTGCTTTATACAGTAGCCTTAATTAAGTTCTAATAACAGCAGTAAATGTTAAGGTGCTTTGTGCCGGAGTTGCAGTTAAATTCAGATAGCAATGACAGAAGTTAAAGCCAAGTAGCACAGTTAAATATTTACCTCATGCCAGAGTTCCAGGTGAAGATGAATAATGGTAGACATTTAGGTGCTTCATACAAAATATTCGTTTAAAGAGCAGCATGTCTATCATTTTCAAAGAGCATTAAAGAGCTTTGTGACAAAGTTGAATTTGAATTAAAGTCTGAATATCATCATATAAAGGTTTTCAATAAATGAAATGTACTTCTATCCAGATTCGATCACTAAAACATTTTAGCTTTAATTTAAAGCCTTTAAATAATTGTTTATTTCGATTCAAATTAAAGACGTGTGGCTTAGTATCCAAACAAGACATCCATTAAATTCCATGCTTGGATTTTGCATCTCCAAGGCTTAATATTCTTAACAGCCTCAATATTTTGCAGCTGTTATGTGTAAATGAGGTGCTAACGTTTCAAGTTTTAAAAAGCTGTGTACCTCCAAATAACCAGAACAGAAGTCCACAGAGTCCTTGGCTAGTCCAACTTCAGTTCAAGGAAGATGGGAATCGTGCATCAGCAATTCTTTTTCCTGCCTCCTTCCCCCCATCTTTTTCACTGCAAAAAGGGAAAATAAAGAAGCAATTTATAATGCAGTAAAAAGAACAACAGGCACCAGCTCTTCTCTGAGGGCCTCTGTCAGTGGGGAGCTAAAGCCCCCAGAAATAGTTCTCCTCTGAGCTCCCGAAGACAGCTTAGATAATTGGGGGGGGGGGACCACCCCATTTTCCTCCCTGCTGTGTACATTCAGGGCTGCGACTAAGAGTGATTTCACACCAATAGCTTTACAGCAATTTTAGCGGATACTGGTGAAATCCACAGAAATATGAAACCTCAGAGGACCGTTGCCCTGTTTGCTGCCATATGCCTGGATGGGGGGGGGGGGGCACAACATTTGTTTGGCCAGCTGGAGAAGGTGGTCCTTTCTACAGGCAAACTTGTTAGAAGGGAGTTCCCATAGAAAAAGACAAGTGCCGTGGTTCTTGGGAGAGTGAAGGTTCATGAAAACATGTGGGTTGGATCCAGCAGTGCATAGGCAGGGACGAAAATGTGTCTAGTGTGCTTCTGCTTGTACAAGAGCTGCAGCGGCATACAGCACTTCAGTAGGTACGGTGCCAGATTAGGATCTGGGAGCCCAAGGTTCAAATCTCCGCTCTGCCATGGAAGCTTGCTGGGTAACCTTGGGCCACTTATGTGCTCTCAGCCTAACCTACCTCACAGGGTAGTTGTGAGGATGCAGTGGAGTAGAGGACAATAACGTAAGCCACTTTGGATCCACACTGGGGAAAAATAAGGTAAAGGTAAAGGTTCCCTTGCTCAAAAGCCAGTCGAATCCGACTCTAGGGTTGCGGTGCTCATCTCCATTTCAAAGCCAAAGAGCCAGCGCTGTCCGAAGACGTTTCCGTGGTCATGTGGCCGGCATGACTAAACACCAAGGGGCACGGAACGCTGTTACCTTCCCACTGAAGTGGTACCTATTTATCTACTTGCAATTTCTTGCTTTCGAACTGCTAGGTGGGCAGGAGCTGGAACTAGAGATGGGAGCTCACTCCATCATGCGGCATCCGGGTCTCGAACTGCTGAACTACCGCCCTTCCACAGCCCGCAGTTCAGCGTCTTAACCACTTGGACCACCGCAGCTCCTGGGGAGAAATACAGGGTGTAAATAAATGATGCCCTAACCTGGATAGCCCAGGCTAGACCGATCTCATCAGATCTGAGAAGCTAAGCAGAATCGGCCCTGGCTAGTATTTGGTGGGGAGACCTCCAAGGAATACCAGGTTGTGGTGCAGAAGCAGGCAGTGTCAGGGCAGGCATGACAGGCAGTGGCAAACCAGCTTTGAACATCTCTCGCCCTACGGGGTTGCCCTAAGTCACCTGCGACTCGATGGCAAAGATAAATAAATTATAATAGTGCTTTGATATAGTTTCTAGTGAAATAACCGTGTACATCGGGAACAATGCAGTGTGCGGCAGTCACATCATTTTACTTAGTATCAGAAGAAATACTTTTGTGTTGTGTCTTGCACTCATGGAAAAAGCTAGAAGGGGCAAAACTGCTTTTACTTAGCACAAAGCAATCTGTGAGGAGTGACTCTGGTGCTTCTACTTGCACAAGGACTGCTGCGGATACAGAAGTCTTCTGTGGGGTCCAACCCAATGGTGAGGAAGGACTCGCACTCTTGACTTTAAAATAACAGAAATTTTCACTCCCTCCTCCAAAGCTGCCTATATTTTTGAGGATCTGAATGAGATCCTTCACTACACAGCCTTGCCGGGACAGGGATATGGATTTCAGCCTTTGGTAATGAATCTGTATTCATGAGCTTACGTTTTGGTTGACAGACGTTTCAGCAAAAACACTCGTGATGGATTTCTCCACCCACCCACCCCACACCCACACACACCATATTCCCAGGGTGAATATTCAAAGAATGCATCGAGGCCTTCCTGATGTGGAAGGCAAAAGGTGATGATGTAGTGTCCTGGTGTATGCTGGTGTCCGATTCCCCATTCATTCAAAGTAAATCCATGTTTGAAGAACAAAGTAGAATTTATTAAAAGAGTTGGTTAGATCAGGAACACAATCATTGTTAGTAATGACTACAAAAGTCCAAGGGAAACATAATAAAGGGACTTGAACCGAGACAGGACCAATGGGCCCAATTCCCGCTGGCGGGAGTGTGATAAGTCTTAGCGCCCATTCCTTGGGAACACAACGGTTCATACTACATAAACACAAGTTCAGTTCTCAGGCCTCAGAATACATGATAAGGAGAGCAAGCCATAACTCCTTCCCACCTCCAGCTGGTTAACCTTCTGCAGTGTGCTAGCAACAGAAAGTAAACACCTACACAAGAGGCAACAGGAGGGGGGATGAACCTAGTACAGTATACCTTGCAGAATAAAACAGACAACATAATGGCAGCTTGCTGACAGCTGGGTTCTCCCTGTCCAGGCCCGTAGCTAGGACCTTTCTAGTGAGGGGGCCCTGGGGAAAGTGGGGAGGCTGGAGTGTGTGCGCGTGCGCTCTTTGTGCGCGCGCCCCGCACACACATCACTTCTGCCGCGCAACTGCTCCACAGACAGCGCTGGCCCGGCTCTCTCGGCGGAGGGGCTGGCTCAGGCGCCCTGCACAGCACGCACACCCCTCTGGACCGCAAGCTCCCCCGGTGACCACTTGCCCTTTCCAACAGTGCAGGAACAACCCGGCTCCTCGCGGAGCTCGCGCGGGGGGGGGCGCTAGATCCCCTGCGCACATGGCGCCTGCCATCCGCACCCTTGGAGGCCACAAAGGCGCCCCGCCCGCCGCTCTCTGGCACAAACGCTTTGCCGGCGTCACGCCTCCCCGCCGGCACACTTTTCAGTTCCACGCAGAGTGTGGCCTTCCTCTCCTTCCCCACCCTCCAAGACACACATTGCTCCTGTTTAAGGCACCAAAGGCCTTTAAACGCCCCCCACAAACCCCCACCCTGAAAGGGCTGGGTGAGTCAGCTTTCGGGGCGTCCTGTCGCGGGGCTTCCCGTCCTGTTCGTGTGTGCACAGCCACGTGGCTCCCGGCCCTCCACGCCAAAGCTCAGCCCGCCAAGCGCGGCGCTCTTGGACTGGGGGAGGAGGAGGGTCCTCTTAGACTGCAGCTACCCCCCCCCAGCCCCGGAGATGCCCGGCGTGGTCCCCTCCCAACTTAGACCCACCTGCAGCCTCATCCCCCGTGCCAAGATGACTCACGCATCCCTGCCCGGGCGGCCCTTGCGGGTGGAAGGAGGGCCGGCAGGCCTGGAAACCAACCGATCGCGCCTGCCTACCTGCCGTCCCCACAGCAGCTCCGGGAGGGGGGAGCGCGGTCGTGCGTGGGTCTGGGACACGCACGGAAACGTCTTCGGACAGGCTGGCTCTTCGGTTTGGATTTGGAAACGGAGATGAGCACCGGAACCCTAGAGTCGGACTCGACTGGCTTTCGAGCAAGGGAACCTTGACCTTTACCTTAAAATGTGCGTGTGTAATAGCTGTCCACGTCTTGCTGTCCACCCAGAGTTGGCAAGCCCGCCCTTACTGTGCAATGCACTACCATTCCAAGGCTGGGCTGAGCGGGCTTGTGGTGCGCGACTGCAGGACTGGATGACGGGCCCAATCCAATCGGTGCCCATGGCGCCATCTCTCGCCAGGAGCCGCTTCCCCGCCAGCTGCAGAAGCCCGAGAGAGCCGCGCTCGGACTGTATTTCCCAGCGAGCTGCCCGCGGTGGGAGTTTCCGTTTTAGCCCGGTCCTCTTAAGCATATTTAAACAGGGCGTTTGCAGGAAGCAGAGAGGTGGAGCGCGCCGGGGAGAGGTAGCCGGAGCGGCAGACGGGGTTGGGGTGGCGGGGGGAGAGCGGCGCAGGGGCCCCTTCGCCCAGCCTTGCCCCCTTCCCTTTGCAGTCTGGGCATGCCAGGAGGCGTCGCGCCCCCGGGAATTGCCGCTGCAGTGCGCGCTCGTCGGCGCCTCCTCTTTGCCAGCGTCCCTCCTGGCGCCCTTTCGAAGGTGGAAAGGCTGCAGGTCACTTGCGCAATCGGCGGCCAGCGCGGTGCCTCGATTGTCACGCTTCATTGAAACGCCGCTGCCAGCCTCTCCTCATCTTCGGGCCGGGGGGAGGGGAGCAGAGGATCGGGGAGGGGCCCCTTACAAAACCCGCAGGGGGGGCGGGCCCCGTGGGCCCCATGCGAGCTACGGGCCTGTCCCTGTCCCTTTAGCACATTCTGGGAATGCTGAAGCAATGTGTGATTTCCTGCCAGGCTTGAAGTTGTTGTAGGGGACTTGACCTCCTAGCTCCCTAGCCCTCCCATCTGTTCTCAGCTCACTGGCTGTTATGACTTGCAGGTGGATGAGGAGGCCCCGCTGTGGAGTCCCTGATAAGATTGGAACTCAGGTCAAAGCCAACATGCGGCGCAAGCGATACGCACTGACTGGACGCAAGTGGAACCAAGACCTTCTGACCTTTAGGTATGTTCTGCTGTTAGGGTTGCCAACCTCCAAGTGGCGGCTGGAGATCTCCTGCTATTATAATTGGTCTCCAAGCAACAGAGAGCAGTTCACCTGGAGAAAATGGCTTTGTTGGAAGGTGGACTTTATGGCATTCTACCCCGTTGAAGTCCCTCCCCAAACCCCGCCCTCCTCTCAGGCTCCACCCCCAAAATCTCCAGTATTTCCCAACCCGGAGCTGGCAACCCTCCCCGCCACCCAGGCCTGAAGAAGGATTGTTTTCTTAGGCCACTTTTAGAGGGCAGCCTACAGGGTTGGCCGAAGGAGGGGCCAGAATATCCCAGCTCAGAATCACAAACATCCATACTTTGTCCTTGAAATAGGTTATGTGATGTGGTTTTGGCCTAGATTTCTTCAATGGTTTTTTTAAAATTTCCAGTATCAGGGATTTTGCAGAGGACTTTGGGAAAGATGGGACCGCATCAGGCAGGGAGGGAAGGGTGGCATCATGAGGGGACAATGAAATTGGTGGAAGCCGGGTTTAGGAGCAGAGTGCTGTCCATGCACAGGTGGCAGTCACACTGAAAGCTACCAGAGTTTTGGCAGGCAGCTGTTATGGGCTTTCAGACTTTTTCTTTGTAGCTGCGAGGGCTAGAGGTATCTCTAAAGAACTGAAATCTGAATTGAGCTGAGAATGTTTTGCCTGGCATTATAAATGGATGTACTGCGTAGTATCCGCTCCTGTCATCTCATCTGGGGAAAAGAAACGGTTCTTTGGCAATAAAATGGCAGGTTCTGCCTCTGCTAGTTTTCCAGATGCCTGCATTTCTGTGGAAGAATGTTTTCTTCCAGAGGCTGTATAAGACCATAAAGGCCACGATGGGAGATTTGTGAATGTTCCTTAGCATGAAAAAATCTGTCTATGAAGCAGTAAAAAACCAGCACCAATTGCTCACATTTTTCTCCACTGCAAGCTTTATGTTAAAGTATGGGACATTTTAATTAGTCTTTTTGTACACAACAGGCACAGCTATCTAGAAGAGAGGCTTGTCTCCTTCCTTTTATTGGACCAGTGCCCTCACATTACCTTCTCGGTAGCGAGGTACTTCTCGATTATGAGGATTAGGGAATATAATGTTAAAGTTCTGGAGGGATAAGATAGTCCTTTGTATATTAAAACTATGGTTCTTGTTATGCTTCTAATTTATGCCAATAAAAGTACTGAGCTGTACTAAAGGCCACCCAGTTTTCTTGTAGCATAGGCAAGAGTCTGCTGCATCAGATGAATCCTGTGCCGTGGGGGTAAAGGTGGTGCTGGTGTTGTACAGATGTACATACACAAATTGGGGTACAGGAAAGGAAGAGCTAAGGTGGCAAGGTGAGGCCTCAGGGGAAAAGCCTTCCTCCTGTCTTCCGTCTGCTAGTAATAATACACAACAGGGTGTCCTTTTCTCCTTTTGCTTCTAGCATCCAGAACTACACAGAGAAGGTGGGTCGTTTCCATTCTTACAATGCCATTCGCCAAGCCATCCGAGTGTGGGAGAAAGCTATCCCACTCGTCTTCCAGGAGATCCCATACGACGAAATCCATCACAAGAGGAGGAAGGAAGCTGACATCATGGTGCTCTTTGCTTCTGGGTTCCATGGGGATAGCTCTCCCTTCGACGGTACCGGGGGCTTCTTGGCACATGCATTCTTCCCAAGTACTGGTTTGGGAGGGGACGTGCACTTCGATTTGGACGAGCCATGGATGCTTGAGAACAGGGACGTGTCAGGTAAGAAAGCATCGTAAAGCTTTGAAGATGATGTGTGGGTGTATTTCAGGAGTCCCCAACGTGGTGCCCATGGGTGCCCTGGCACTTGTTGAGTGTTTCTTTCTAGGGCGCTTTTGCCAGGCAGGGCTTCTGACTGGCCACTGGAGGTCATCCTGAAATGTTGAGGATTAACTATTAGAGTTATGCGTGACATCACTCCCGGATAGGCTGTGGTTGGCCTTGCCTCCTTCATTAGCCATTCTAGTACTTGCACCCACCACCATGTGTTAGAAGTGCAAAGGTGCCCAGAGGTTCAAAAATCTCTAATGTATGCTGTTCACAAAACTAGATCAAGGGGGTCTGGCATCAATGTGGAAAGGCTGGGTTTCCCGATTTACTCCAATCTCTAATTGCTCTACAGGACTCACTTTTTAGAAATTTGAATTGGCTATTTTTAAAATGTTTTATTAAGCTATAGCTTGTACCAATATCAGTTACTTTTCACAAACTGTTTGCTTCTCTGTTCAAACTTCTGCTCTCACCATCTGTTATGTGTAAATGCTAGTTCTGTTGATTAATGATGGGATTTACACCTGACCCTTCTATCTCAGCTCTTCATTTTTTACTTACATTGAGAATCTACACTTGGAAGATTCATGATGGAACTGGCACTAAACTTCTCTGCCTCAGCTCCTCTCTCCCCCTTGTAATCTTCCCCATATGTATAATTTCCCTTGACATATCTGCAGGAGTGAGCTGTGACTCACAAAAGCTCATAGTGAAATAAATGTTCTTAGTCTTCAAGGTGTCCCTGGACTTTTTTGTTTTATCAGTCTGGGGATCAGCTGTTCCCAACAGGTTGATCATCATCTTTGGAACTGGCAAGAGATCCTCTTCTCGGTCATTCCTGGGTTTTCATGTAATTTTTGAGACCATCTTCACAGTTCACTGCAGCACCTGGTTTGAGCTGTTTCTACATGAATGTTTTGCTCTGCCTTGGTTTCTTTACTGCACTGCTGTTTTCAGGAGCACATGATATCTTCCTCTATTAATCCTGCTTCAAGTTTTCTCCTGCTATGATTGTTCCCAAATGCGGTTGGGTATGATCTTTTTTGCAAAGATGACTCAAAGTGATGGGAAAGTGCACATGTTTGCAGATCCTGCAAATATTGGTGCCATTTTCCTTAGACCCCATGGCCACCATTCCCTCCCATACACTAGAGAGATTGTAGGGCACTCTCTTTAAAGCAGAAATTGCTAGATCATTATAGCGTCATAACAAATTATTGCAATAATGTATGGCTTCCCAACTCATTTTTTTGGAAAAATGTAAATTTCTAAGTCTTTTCATTGCAGAATTATAAGAGGAAAAGTGCTAATGGGAGATGTGCAGCCTACACCTTTCCCATATAATTCCACAGTGAAAAGGGCTAGAAACTTTTAAAAAGTGAAAACTGAGAATTGAGAGGAGCTAGTAAATCATGGCATTAGATCATTACAGCACAGTTCTCTAACAATCTAGCAAGTCTTTTTTAAGCCCTCTAATTGAGTGGGGAAATGTTGATCAAAAGGAGCTAAGGCAAGGAACGTACAGGGGAATCTGGTGTGTGCAAATTCTGTTGCAATGAGAGCTACACAGTGTATTATTCTATATGAACAAAGTTTGATTCCAGTGGCACCTTGAAGACCAACAAAATTTAATTCATGGTATAAGCTTTCCTGTGCAAACACACTTCTTCAGATAACTGAATCTATTGTTTTATATGGCTTTAGCCATTTTGTTTTTTCATCTGCATTATTGGCCAGATTCCCTCTCTGCTTATGGTACAGTAAAATGTAGATAGTTTGAGTTCGGAAGGGGCACACCTATGGCTGATCTTGGCTTTTGCTTGATTACATTCGATTCCTTTCCCCTTTCCCCCATCATTCTGAGAAGTGGGATCAAAGGGCAGGGTGGGAGTGCATTGATTTCAGGAGCCCTCCTTTGTCTCTTTCAAGAAGGGAACAATCTCTTCCTGGTAGCTGTCCACGAATTGGGCCATTCGTTGGGCCTGGAGCATTCCAGTAACCCTGGTGCCATCATGGCGCCTTTCTACCAGTGGATGGACACTGAGAATTTCCAGCTGCCGGATGACGACCACCGTGGCATCCAGCGACTCTATGGTGAGTGCCCTTAATAATACGAATCCGTTATGGTGACCGCCAGCTGTTAATGGCCTTGGGGCATCATGTGGGATGACCCTCTCCCTTTCTGAGTGGCAGGTGAGGGGGAGAAAGAAACTTCAGAGCAGCATTTTAGCACATGGTCTAGTATAAAGTCACTTGTTCTGGAAGTTGGCAGACTTAGCCTTTAAAGACAGAACCCTGAAATGCTGGCCCGTTTTTAATTTTGAAAGAAGTGCTGGAAGTTCATGGTGACCCAAGGTGCTTTGTCTCCCGGTCTGTTTCCACGAAGACATTTGGCTCCACTTTGGCTTCCTTACTGCAGTGCTGTTTTCAGGAACATCCACAGGATGGCATCCTTTTTTTGTCCCACTTCTCTGTTTCCCCCTGCTTTGTTGCAATTGTTCCCTAACCTGGTTGGTATGATCATTTTGGACAAAGAGCAGTCAAAGCGCTTCTGGACAGGAAGGTGTGCATTTTTGCAGGTCTTACCCACATCAGTGCCATTTTCTTTGCTTCAGCCCCTATTGCTGCCATTCCCCCCTCTGCATACACACACTGGAGGGCTTTGGGAGGATTTGAAAAATTGGGAATTGCTAGATCACTATAGTTTATAACGATTAACAATCTCCCAGCTTTTAATTTTTAGACGTTAAGTCTTTAGTTCTTTTCACTGCAAAGTTATGAGGAGAAAGGTGCAGCCTACCCCTGTATGTTTGTTCTACATAATCAAGGGGGGGGGGGACTATGTAAAGCCCCACCCTCTAGCCACTGCAAGTCCTACTTAGCTCTCCTTTGATTTTGACAATGAGGGTCCAATCAAAGTGTTTCTGCCACAAAATACTGACCCCTCCTTAATATTCAATTCAAAAAACTGGGAGGTATATACATGTGTTTTGATGAGCCTCTGGAAATGGGTGAGGATCTTGCACTAATCCTCCCTGTCTCTCCCCCTCTTTTTAAGTCCTTCCTTTTTAGGGACAGACCTCTAAACATTCAGCCATGTAGAATATTCAGGTGTGTGCCAGTTTGACTCATGGAAGAGCTTTTGGTTATACCGATGTGACACTTTCTTGTGCCTAGTGATTTCTCCCCACCAGATCACGGTGTCTTTGTTCCTCAGGTGTCCCAGGGGGACGGCCACAACCCACCAGACCCTTTCCTACTGGGATGCCCAGGAAGCCAGAGCAGAGGACTTCTAGGCCACCACCCGGCAGGCCAGACTGGCCTCCCAAGCCAGGCAACCCCGGCCAGTCAGAGCCCAACATCTGCGACGGGGACTTTGACGTGGTGACGGAGCTGCGTGGGGAGATGTTTGTCTTCAAGGTACGCCTTCTTCTGCCCAGTTACCTTTGTTGACCTGGCAGATCAAAGCATCAAGATGAGATCCCAGATGTAGAAATAAAGAGGGTTGTCGCACCAGATTTGGGGATGGGTGTGGGGGTTGGCAGCACTCATTTAAAAGGCAACTTTTTTTTTGTACCCAGCTTACGTGACCCTCCAGGCAGATTACAAAACCCATCCCAAATATGACACTCAGCTGGCGGAGAGAGATGTTTCAGTGTAGTCCCTTCCCCAGACTCAGGGGTCATTTCCTGCAGGAGCGCACAGGAGCAGAGCTCCGGCAGTAAAGAGCCCAGGGGGTGGGCACATGCAACAACCCCCACCCCCTGCTCCCAGCAGCCCTCAGTCAGAGCAAGAAGCAGTCAGGTAAGTTGCAGAGCTCCCCCCCCCGGCCCAAAACAGTCCAGTGGCACCTTTAAGACCAAGTTTTATTCAGGTACAAGCTCTCCCTCCTCTGTGAGGACAGATCTGCACGTCCTCGTCCCCCCCAAATAGCTAGCAATCCAAAACAGTCCAGTGGAGCCTGAGCGGTGGGTGTTGCCTTCTGACACACTTCTAGTGATGTCAGGGGGTGTGGTATATGCAAATAAGTTATGTTAATGGGTTATGCTAATGAGCTCCTTCACCTCTTTTTTTACGAAATGACCCCTGCCCAGACTACAGGGCCCCCTTGGCCCTACTGCAGTCTGGCTGTTGTTCTGCCTCCAGAGTGTGGTGGCAATGGGGTAAAAATGCCTTCCCCTCTTCCAGAAATTGGTTTCCAGCCTCTACTCAGTGGTCTTTCTCTGCAGAGCAGGGCTTCTTCCTCTGAGCAGGTGCAGCAGAGACTTTTGTAGCTCTCTCCCTTCCCTCTGGTGGCCTAACTTGGAAGCTTGGTTGCCACCAGCAGGAGAGGTCAGAGAGTGATTATGGCACAGACTCCATCTTGTGGCCCCGGGGGAGGAATCTGGAGAAGTATTCCCAGGGGATAAATAAGGCATCTCTCCAGCATGGACTTTGAAAGCCAACTGTTTCTGCCAGCAGCTCTAGAAGCAAAAGGAAGACCCAGGGTAACTTGGTGCGCTCAGTGTTGGAGGAACTGGAACTCATGCCAAGCAGCCTCCTAGCTCAGAATAAGCATAGAGAGCTTCTTCCCTCTCCCTTGGCCCAAACTAAAGTCTGCCCAATCACCTGCAAATTTTCTGTTAAATGCGCAAGTGTTAGCATTCTGGTGGTAGAAGCTGGGTTGTTTTGGGGCTACTGCCCAGTTCATGATCTATGCATCTCTTGGTTACTCACCCACTCAGAAGGATGTTCTGAGTTTACATTTTCTTCCTTGAGCCAAACAAGGCTGTTTGGAAGGAAACCCCATTTCTAGGTTTGGGGAGCAGTGAGATTTAATTTGATCTGCAGAACGTGATTCTCTTTGCTGTGGGTCTCAGCTGCCCAAAACCCTAGTATATATATATTTTTCTTTTTGTGCAAACTATGGCAGTTTCATAGCTTCTAGCCCCCTTTCCTTGCAGTATTTCCCAATGGTAAACTGAAATCATTTACTGTATACTTAATCTCCTGTCTGGGAATGAAGACTCTGCTGTTCTCGCAATTGTTAAATACAAATACATCCTGGGAGCTCTAGAAATCCAAGCTAATAGCAGTTCCTCAGCCTCTGAATAACCAGGAAGTAAGCATAATGACTGACTGGTAGTCTTGATGGATTTTAATCTATGCTACTTTAAAAAAAAAATTGTATGTTCCTTTCCTTAAAAAAACAACAACCTGGGTCTCTCGTTCTTGTGAATTTAACCCTAATCTTTCTCATACTGTCTTAAAAGCCAATGTGCTATGTAAATTTCTTGAATTAGTGCAATGCATGATTCTTCCTTTTTGCAGAACTGAAACTATCTAACATTCTCTTTGGCAGGTTAATGTAGGATCACATCCCCCCCCCCCCCCCCGCCCCCTTTGCCTGCTGCCCAGACCTGGCTGGTCCCGGCTAGCCCGATCTCGTCAGATCTTGGAAGCCAAGCAGGATCAGCCCTGGTTAGTACTTGGATGGGAGACCACCAAGGAAGTCCAGGGTTGCTACACTGAGGCAGCCAATGGCAAACCACCTTGGTTTGTCTCTTGCCTTGACAACCCCACTAGGGGTCGCCTTACGTTGGCTGCAACTTGACAGCGTTTTCCAGCCCCACCTTCACTTGCTGCCATCCAGGGGTGCCCAGTGCTGGAAGTGGACTATTAAAGAAGAAGAAGAAGAGATTGGATTTATACCCCGCCCTTCGCTACCCAAAGGTGTCTCAGAGCGGCTTACAAACTCCTTTCCCTTCCCCTCCCCACAACAGACACCCTGTGAGGTAGGTGGGGCTGAGAGAGCTCTGACAGAAACTGCTCTTTTTCAAGAACAGCTGTGCCAGAACTATGGCTTGCCCAAGGTCACCCAGCAGCTGCAAGAGGGGAATCAAACCCAGTTCTCTCAGATTAGAGTCCGCGCACTTAATCACTACACGAAACCACTACATCAGTCTTGTTGCCGTGGCTGAGCCTGCTGTGTTGAGCTCCTGTGTGCCACTGGGGGCAAGATAAACCCAGAGGCTGGAGAACTGAGCTTGAGAGGGGCCTTATTCTCCCTCCCTAAAGGGCCGCTGGTTCTGGCGTGTTCGCTACAACCGGGTGCTGGTCAACTACCCCATGCTGATTGGACACTTCTGGAGAGGCCTCCCAGGGAACATCGATGCTGCGTATGAGAGGCACGACGGGCGGTTTGTGTTCTTCAAAGGTGAGGGGGTCGTGGAAGTAAAAAGAGTGAGAACAGAATGTCATCATGTGGAGATTTGCTAACATCAAGGAGAACATCTCCCTCACTCCTCCAAGCTCAAGCCTGCAAGGACAGGCAGTTTCTTTAACCTTTCCCTGGTGTCAAAGCTATCTGGAGAGATGGATCTCTCTCACAGGAGAGGTGTGGCATCGAGAGTCCGGACAGAGAGTTTTGTACATACGTTGTTGTGTATAGACGTCGTACACTGCCCTGAGCCCTCTGGGGGAGGGCGATTTATAAGTTGAATCAATCAATCCTCGCCCTGACCTGGATAGCCCAGGCAAGCCCGATCTCGTCAGATCTTGGAAGCGAAGCAGGGCCGACCCTGGCAAGTACTTGGATGGGAGACCTCCAAGGAATACCAGGGCCGGGAGGCAGAGGCAGGCTACCAAGCCACTTCTCTGAATGTACTCCGTGTCCCAGTAAGAGTCGCCAGAGGTCACCCTGACTTCCAGGCATGGGCACACGCACACACACACACACGATGCAAAAATACCAAGTAAATAAATAAACAAAAAACAATCCTATCCATGTCGTAGTCTGTTCTGAAGTGGGGTGAGACTTGGAACAGACTGACGCCCAATCAAAGTTCTGGTGGCAAGCCGGGAAAAAGGCCAAATCCCACCAGCAACTGGCACCGACAGCTTTTTTCTTGCCCTGTCTCTTGGTTACTGAGGGCCTCTTGGGCAGCAGGCTAGCAGCCTGGCACAACCAGGCATGATGGGCCTGCAAGAATTGCGTAGCACATGGAAGTGCCGCTAGCTTCAACCTCACGTCCTTCTGTGTCCTGTCTTCAGGGGATCAGTACTGGCTTTTCCGCGAGGCAAACTTGGAACCGGGTTACCCGCAGCCCCTGACTAGCTACGGACTGGGCATGCCATACGGCAGAGTGGACACTGCCATCTGGTGGGAGCCCACGGGACACACCTACTTCTTCCAAGGGGACAGGTGCGTAGCTGGCATGCAGAAGTTTACCAGAGAGGTTGCAGGTAGGTCTTCGCTAAGGGGCTCGTTCTGAAGGCAGGTGTGTAAAGGTAGGGGTTTGGGGTGACCCAGTCAGGGCTTGAGTAGGATTTGAACCAAAAGAGGCTGGAGTGGAGCAGGAGGAAGGGAACACCAGAGTTTGTGGAAGAAAGAGTGCAAGACTTCTTCCTCCAAGGAATTTCCTGTAGCTATTGCACAACTAATACTAAGGATGTGCTTCGCTAAAGCTGTAGTGCAAGTTTGGAGGAATAGAGAAGGGCTGATGCGTGTGTACATGCCCAGAGGTGGGTAACACCATGGCTGAAGGCACAGAGAAAGCAGCAAAAAGAAGAAAGAGATTAGCTTTGCACAATAGTGTCAGGTCCCACAGCAATTCAACAGAGTACACACTTATAGAAAGGGATTACTTTATTGAAGCCATGAGTCACTGAACAGAATCACTGTTCAGAATAACGATAGCTCATTGAGCTGGAAAGGTTAAAGCAAATTCATAATCAATACAGCCAATAGACATGATTCCTGCTCGCGCCCAAAAGGCAGTTTATGCGCCCAAAACCCTGAGAAAGCAATGGCAATTGTGTTATCACAACAAAACGCTTCCCACAGTTTCTACTCATTAAAATCAAAGCAAAGCAAAGCAGACTTTTCTTCTTGACCACCTGTGACCTTGGAAATGATAACGTTACAGCAGCAGGCTGGCGTAGACTAACAAGAATGCAACCACTATGAATGTATGCGCATGGTTATATGAGCGGATGTCTGGGGAGGGGAGAGAAAAGACAGAGATAGGTACATTGCAGAACTCAAGTACCAGAATGCATATAAGAACAATAAAACCCTTTGGCAACTTGCTGACATACTGCCCTCCTGAAAATTCACTTCCCACCATCCAGATGCACAATCTCCCGGTTAGGGCGGGAGACCTCCCGGTTTGTCTGGGAACTTCCGGTGAAACTTGCGGAGCATATGAGGGGCCCGAATATCCCCTACTTCCACCCATTCGAGGTGCTGGGGTCCGAAGTCTTTCCATTCCACCAGATAGAGAAGTTTACCACGTTTCAGCCTAGAGTCCAAACTACGAGCTATCTTGTAATGTTCTTGACCCTCCTCCAAGATAGGAAGTGGAGGTTTACTTTCTCCCCGCCAGGGGCAGGACCCATTGTGTTTCTTCAGCAGGCTGAAATGAAATACAGATTGTAAGGACCTCAAATTCTTAGGCAGTTCAACATCAACCGCAACATCATTGATAATCCTCCGCACTTTAAAAGGCCCAATAAATTTCCATCCCAACTTCCTACTGGGATGCAACAGTTTGATATTTTTAATAGGCACGTACACAAAGTCCCCAGGCCGCAGAGCCCAACCCTCCACCCTTCCTCTATCGGCCTGTCGTTTGTAAGCTGCCTTAGCAGCATCAAGTGTCTTGCAGAGAAGAGGCCATGCCTCCTGCTGTTGCTTACACCATGAGCTCGCATCACCTGTCCCCAAATCCTTGGCCCCTGCCCAGGAAAGGCATGGGCGAGCTGTCGTATCCATACAGTGCTTTAAAAGGGGACATGCCAATGGACGCATGGCATGTGTTGTTGTAACAGTACTCAGCCAGTGGCAATAAATCACACCAATCGTCCTGTTGATAATTCGTGAAACAGCGGAGATATTGTTCCAAAGTCTGATTAACGCGCTCAGTTTGTCCATCCGTCTCGGGGTGATAAGCACTGCTGAGACCCCTTTCGATACCCATAAGATGCATTAATTCCGACCAGAACTTGGAGACGAATTGTGTTCCCCTGTCGGAGACCACCTTGCTCGGCAACATGTGGAGTCTCACCACATGAGTCAGGAACGCTTTTGCTAAGGCTTTAGCCGTGGGCAACGAGGCAAAAGAAATAAATTGGGCTTGTTTTGAAAATAAGTCCACCACAACCCAAATTACCGTTTTAGTTTTACTGGGGGGCAAGTCCGTGATAAAGTCCATGGATATGACCTCCCATGGCCGGTTTGGTGTGGGGAGGGGTTGCAACAGTCCCGGGGTTTTCCCTCCCCGTGGTTTGCTCATAGCGCACGTTTGACAGGTTTGCACAAACGCAGATAAGTCCTTGCGCATACGTGGCCACCAGAATTGTCTTTGTAATAACTGCAAGGATTTAAGAAACCCCAAGTGCCCAACCATCTTTGTGCCGTGCGCTGACCCCATAATTTCTCCCCTTAGGGTTACGGGGACGTACAGTTTATCATCTTGGTACCAACAACCATTGTTTTCTGGTTTGCAATCCTCCACCCCTTGCAGCACCTCACTGTCCTCATCCGAGAATGCTGCTTTGAAGCGCGCTTCCCAAACCTCTTCGGGGGGAGTCTGGGGGGAAGGCGGGAGAGCGGCAGGGATTTTCGCGGCTTGGCTGCGAGTGGTGACCACCACCACCCCAGTTGGGCGGGAGTGAAAACCGAATCCAAGATGACATCCCTTTGACTGGCATGTTGAGGGAGGCGTGACAAGCCATCTGCTAACGAGTTAGCCGACCCGGGAAAATGGTGGAGCGTAAACTGAAACTTGGAGAAAAAATCAGCCCACCTCAGTTGCTTGGCATTTAGGCTCCGGGGCGTTTTTAGGGTTTCCAGATTTTTGTGATCAGTCCAAACTTCAAACAGCACCCTCGCCCCCTCCAGCCAATGCCTCCAGATCGACAGAGCCAGCTTTATTGCTCCTGCTTCCTTTTCCCAAATGGACCAATGTCTCTCAGAGTCTGTAAATTTTTTGGAAACATAAGCCAGGGGATGCAACAACCCATCCTCCCCTTCTTGTAATATGCCCCCCCCCCATTGCCACCTCTGATGCGTCGGTTTGCACAATGAATTTTTCCGTTTCATCAGGATGGGCAAGGACCGGCTCTGAAGTGAAGAGGGCTTTCAAGCGTACGAACGCCTCTTGGCATTCTTCTGACCAAGCTAGCCGTGCCCGGGGTTTGGTGGCTTCCGGCCCCTTTCCCTTAGTTTTTAATAAGTCTGTGAGGGGGAGGCTAACTTGCGCAAAGTTCGGCAAAAAGGATCTGTAGAAATTGGCGAATCCTAAGAAGGATTGTAGTTGCCTCCGGGTTCGGGGAGCCTCCCACCCCAACACATCCCTTACTTTCCTGGGGTCCATTTCGAGGCCGGTGGCCAAGATGCGGTAGCCTAAGAAATCAATGTGTGTCTTATGGAACTCGCATTTGGAGAGTTTGGCGAACAGTTTGTGCTTGTGCAACGTGCGTAAGACTTCTCTCACCAATTTCACGTGGGAGGGGAGGTCAGGGGAGTAAATAAGAATATCATCTAGGTAAACAAGCACCCCCTTAAACAAATGTTTGTGAAGGACTTCATTGATCAAATTCATGAAGCCCGAAGGGCATCACCATGTACTCAAATTGGCCCAGTGGAGTATTGAAGGCAGTTTTCGCTTCATCGCCTTCCTTTATGCGCACATAAATAAGCGTCTCGTAAATCCAGTTTTGAGAAGATTTTCCCCCTCGCCGCCTCTGCCAACAAGTCCTTAATCAGCGGCATTGGGTAAGCATTGGTGGCTGACACTGCGTTTAAACCCTGGTAATCCGTGCAGAGTCTCAGCACACCATCCTTCTTCTTACGAAAAAGTACAGGAGCCGCATAGGGGGATGAGGCAGGTATAATGAAACCCCTTGCCAGATTTTTGTCAATGAACTTTCGCATCTCCTCTTTTTCCGCAGGTCCCATGGCCTAAATTTTCCCTTTGGGTAGTTTAGCCCCGGGGACCAATTCTATGCGACAGTCTGAATGTCTATGTGGGGGTAACTCATCCGCTTCCTCTTCCCCAAATACTGCGGCTAAGTCTCTGTACTCATTGGGAATTGATAGCACTTCTTCTCTAGTGAGTAACGCAATGGGAAAGTCAGTCACCGGGCACGTTCCCCACTCGGGGTCCCGTTTGTGGCTTTTGCATTTGATTGACATAAAGTCCACCTTTCCCTCTTCCCAGAGGATGTACGGGTCGTGCCGGTATAGCCAGGGAGCCTCCAACACCAGGGAGAATTGCGCAGTAGGGGTTACTATGAAGGACCTATTTTCCCAGTGGTTCCCCACCCCCAGCTGTAAGGGCATAGTCTCGTATAAGTATGACGGGCTACTGACGGGCTGATCAAGTCTCTCCCGCATCCAGAGTCAATGAGTGCTTTTACTCGCACATGCATTCCGAGGATGGGGTCTATTAAAGAGACAGGAAAAATAGGGAAAGGGGTTCGCTCACCACTTTTGGCGCCTCCATTGGAGGGTCCTGCCATTGTGCGCCGTCTACAGCAGGACCTGCTCGTTTCCCGCCGGCTCCTGCTCCTCCTCGCTGGATTTCCCTTTGTCTTCTTCTGGCGAAGCCTGTAGAGCCTTGGCAAACTTGGGTTTACCCACCGCCTTCTTACCAGGGCTCGGTCTAGGCTTGCTCGGTGCTTGTCTGTCCCGTTGAGTCTTCTGCCCACAGTCAGCCGCAAAATGGCCCTTCTCCCCACATTTGAGACACAATCCTTGTCTCAGTCGTTGCTCCCTCATCGCATCAGGCGGCTGGTTAGGCTTGGGTCTCGAGGTTTGAGGGGTGGATCTGCCACCGGCTGTGGCCATGTCCAGGCGAAGCGTTTGCAGGCGGTTCTCTGCACTTTCAGCCTCTTGTATCCAAGCGTTCAGGGAGACGGGATCCACCGATCTCAACACAGTCTCTCGGATTTCTTGGTTCAGTCCCACACGATACATCTCAGCCAGTATGTGATCGGGCCAATTCTGCAACTTGGAAGCATGGAGTTTAAACTCGGCTGAGAACTCCCGCACCGTCTTCCGTCCTTGTTTCAGGGTGCGTAGGTACACTCTGGCTCTTGGGCCCGCGTTCAAGTCTTTGAACTGGCCCCGCAGCGCCCACATGAAGGCATACATGTCCCGCAGTTCGGGGCCCCGTGTGTTGTGCAACCCGACGTACCAGGTCGTCGCTGCCCCTCGCAAACGAGCAGCCACCACATCGATTCAGCTGCTATCGTCCGGAAATAGGTGCCCCGACCTATCCAGGAACTTTTGCACTCGTACCACAAAGTAGGGCAGTTTGTCAGGGTTCCCGTCAAACGTCGCTTTGATCAAATCTTTGGGGCACGGGATTACCGGAGGCCTCGGGCTGGCTGGTCGTGGTACCGGTACTGGCCCACCTGGCTGTCCTGGCTGCAGGAGCTGGGGAGCTGGAAGTTGGGGAGCCAGAAGCTGTTGGCCTGGCGGTCCCTGGTGCGCTGGAACTGCCGGTGCACCCCGACCTCCGCCCGCGCCATCTCCCTGTTGCCTCCACTCCTCCAGTTCTTCGAAAGTTCGCATAATTAATTCCGCTATTGCTCCCAATACCTCATTCATGGTGTGTTGCAGGTTCTGCACGGCTTGGTTGGTTTCTTCTATCTGTTCCTATATCCCCTCCTCGGGAAACGCGGCCACTTCGGCTTTTGGGTCGGTTAGTCACCCACGAAGGCAGGGGAGCCTCGGCTTGAGCTCCCGATGTAGCCATCCTATGCCCCGGTTGACTCCAATCATACGAGCTGTCATGCATACTCGCTCCCAGGTGTGAGTATGATTCCCTCACGGCATCCGCGTCAAACTGGCTCCAGCTGGCTCGGCCCTCCAGCCATGGCAGACGTGCCGGGCCCTTAGGAGACATATATAGGGTAGCCGTGGTCGTCTTTGTCATCACCCCCCCCCCCCGGGGTGTTTCGGTGGCGATTCGGTCAGCAGGACCACCACTGTAGTTTCAGGAACTTCCTTCTCCTCATCCGGAGGTCCCGGTTCTGTCCCGTCAGGGATATTTTCCCCCTCTTCTTCACTCATATCGGGGTTGATAGATACGCCGAGATAGGGAATGGAGGATTCTGAACAGAATGTCAGGTCCCACAGCAATTCAACAGAGTACACACTTATAGAAAGGGATTACTTTATTGAAGCCATGAGTCACTGAACAGAATCACTGTTCAGAATAACGATAGCTCATTGAGCTGGAAAGGTTAAAGCAAATTCATAATCAATACAGCCAATAGACATGGTTCCCACTCGCGCCCAAAAGGCAGTTTACGCGCCCACAACCCTGAGAAAGCAACGGCAATTGTGTTATCACAACAAAACGCTTCCCACAGTTTCTACTCATTCAAAGCAAAGCAGACTTCTCTTCTTGACCACCTGTGACCTTGGAAATGATAACGTTACAGCAGCAGGCTGGCGTAGACTAACAAGAATGTAACCACTATGAATGTATGCGCATGGTTATATGAGTGGATGTCTGGGGAGGGGGGAGAAAAGACAGAGATAGGTACATTGCAGAACTTAGGTACCAGAATGCATATAAGAACAATAAAACCCTTTGGCAGCTTGCTGACAAATAGATTCTATGGGCCCAGAAGCCTTTGGGTGCTTGTAGCAGTTGTCTGTCGTGGCCAAGGAGGAAGCCTGTGAGCCCGCTAATTTTTGTCAGTGCCTCAGGCGGGGAAAAGAAGTCACTTGCAGAGAGCACCAAGATTCTAATAGCTGCTAATGGTGTCCAGAGGCTTCTGTACCTTAGGAAGCTACTGTATGAATGGAAGTAGGAGTCTGCAGTAGACAAGCAGGGCTTTTTTTCTGGGGGAAAGTGCCGGAATGGAGTTCTGGAACCTCTTGGTGGAAACAAAATTCTCAAAAAAAATTGTTTGTAAAAAATTGTTGGACCTCCCTTAACAGTCTTTGATCCAACAAAGTATGTTAAAACATGGTTGCTTCAAGGTCATAATTCAGCGTTAGGCACCAAAAAAGCAAGACCCGTAAAAGAACTGAGGAAGTTGGTGACCTGTCTAAAGTTTGGAAACTGCTTTAAAGTTGAGGTAAGTCTGTAGCGCATGGAAATGATATTGTTTCAGAGAATCCCATCTGTTTCATTTCCCCCTTGAGAGTTCTGGCACCTCTTTCCAGAAAAAGGGCCTGTAGATAAGGATGCAGAATGATAATAAGGGGTGCTGAGAGAGCTCTCAGCCACAGAATAAACCAACATTGTCTGGCATAGTTTAGTCTATGAAGCCAAGCAGTTCTGGGCTTTGATGGGAGAACACTTGGGGCGGAGCCAAGCAGGCTGCAAATAAAAAAGCTATTTCTGTTCCTGACCATAGTAAAATAATAAGGGCAGCCATGGCTCTTGTAGACCGTGACCCTGTCTTAGTGTTTCCTGGGCTCTTGGGAACGCATCCCTTCATTTTAACCCCTGCTCTCCCCTAGGTACTGGCGCTTTAATGAGGAGAGGCACAGTATGGATCCGGGCTACCCAAAGAAAATCAGCGTATGGGCCGGAATCCCCCACACTCCCAAGGGAGCCTTCCTGAGCTCTGATGCAAGTAAGTAGACAAAGAGAGAAGCACAAATGCTGGTAACCGCCAACCCTAAAGTAACAGAAACAAGCAAAGGGTAAGAGCAAAGCTAAAAATAATTTACAAAATTATTATTATTAGCTTATTATTGTTGTTAAAGTGCGGCAGAAGCTGGAATCTGGATGCAAACGAGCCCTTGACAGTTGTAAATGGAGTGCCCAAAGCAGTTCAGGGAGCCAGATAGAAGCAAAGCAAATTCATCCGTTTCTGTTGTGGAACAAGTTAGGGAGAGACCCTCAGCCAAATCTGTATTTTCTGAGAGGTGACCCACAGAGCTCTGCAAGATAAAGGTGATAAAAGGATAACGTTTCTGAACTGCCTAAGCAATTTAAGTTTAACACATTGCTAAAACTAGCTGGCATTGACCTGAGAATTTCTGGAAAGTCTCACATGTGAAATTGCTGATCTTTAAACGTAATTTTGCAGTTTACCATTAAGATCTGCCTCCTTAGCAGAGAATGTAAGGGTATTCACTGTGTAACACCACAGGTTGAATTCATAGAGAAGTATGAGCCTTGCTGAAGAACACTCAAGCAGAATTTTTTGAAAGGAAAGCTTTGCCCTTCTTAGCTCCTGAGTACATTAATTATCAGAGGATCAGTCCAGTGGCTGTTCCAAACTTTGGCTTGGATCCAGCTGAAGTGAATTGTCCATTGGTTAGAGCAACTAGACTTAAATCAGTTGTGAGTAACAAAATCTCAACTCACTTTACCTGGATTTACCTCGGAGCCCATCTTTGGACCCTCCTGCAAAGGGGGCCCAATACTGCTTATGTCCCTCCTCCTCCCTCCCTCCCTTTCTCTTTTTCTTCTCCTGCCTACCTTTTCCCACCACACTATCTTTCTCTGTCTCCTTGTCTTTTCAAAAGCAAACTCTGGTGGTTCCACGGGTTTGGCCCGTCTGAGGTCAGGGCACCCAGTTGTGGTTTACAACCTGCCAAGTAAAGAATGACAGATGTAACAGTTTTGGACTGGCCACCGCAAGTCTTCTGCAAAATACCATGTGAATGGCTGTTTGGGGAATCTATTCAGACTACAGGACACAGGGTGGAATCAGTTCAGGACCAGTGTTTCCTCTAAGCTAGCTCACGGTTTTTTAGCCTCTGGCTCACACATTTTTGTCTTTGCCAAATCACCTGCTCACAACTTTAATGCCGGTAGCTCAGAAACTAGAATTTTTGCTCGCAGGACTCCAGAGCTTAGAGGGAGCATTGTTCAGGACATGTGCAATCCTGGACCCTGGAAGTGTAGGAGTAATAGAATGCAAGATTATACAGATTGGTTAGTTGATGATTGGAACAGGACACGATTGGAGTCACTAACCATCCTTTTTCCTCATTGTTTTTCAGCCTACACATATTTCTACAAAGGCACAAAGTACTGGAAGTTTGACAACGAGAGACTGAAGACAGAACCGGGCTACCCCAAGTCTATCCTGCATGACTTTATGGGATGCCATGAAGAGGTTGCTATGACACCCGATCCTGGTCATCGGTGGCCTAATCTGGGCAGGCCGACCATCAGTCCAGGCACCACCGAGGAGGAATACAATGTTGACACTCTCCCCGAGGAGGAAGGCAATGCAGTGGATGCGGAGGACACTTACGGTGATGATGCGGACGGTGGCCGGGCAAAGGGCCGGGGTGATAACGATGTGGACATTGTGGTACACATTGACGAATACCCTCTGACTCTGAGCATCATCATGGTGATGGTCCCGTTGGTGCTACTGCTTGGGATCCTGGGCCTCATCTACGCCCTTGTGCAGCTGCAGCGGAAAGGCACCCCCCGCATGCTCCTCTACTGCAAGCGGTCTTTACAGGAATGGGTGTGAAGCCTGACCGTGTCCACCAACCACCCTGGTGCTCTTGATGTGCCTCACACTACCTCCCGGTCTCTCCCAGTGGGCTAGTTTACCCGTAGAGCTTTCTCCCTCCCTCCCCTTGTCTCCCACTTGGAGGAGAGGCTTGTGAGACCTCAGAAGGTCTCTGAGGCTGATTGGTCACTTCCATCTCCTCAGGACCAAAGCAAGCCTCGTCACTTCCTGTGTAGAACTGTTGTAAGTAGACGTAAAGATCCGGCATCCATGCAGGCATTTAGTGGTTGGAGGGTAAGTGGGCGATCTCTCCTGTTCTGTAGACCTACCAAGCTTGCCAAAGAGATGCCACTGGAGCCCTCCAGTTTTGAGGCATGGCTTTCTCTTAGAAAGTTTGACCTGTTCGTGGAGGATAATCTGAAGGATCTCGTTCCCCGTTCTGGGTTCTTGTACACGCACGATGGTCCAGACCTCATTTTTGCAAAAGGCTGAGTGGTGACCAGACAGGAAGGGAGAGGGTGCTTCGCCCTTTTAGATCCATTTTTTGCCTTTCTGTGCAGCGGCTTTCCCAAGTTGCATCCTGACAGTGCCGCTTATACCGGACGAATTGCTGGGGGACGGGGTTACTTCTTTGCCTTCAAGCACTATTCGCTGTCTACAGATCAACCTGGGAAATAGAGGTGCTTCTCCCCCGCATGCACAGCACATAGTGCATTTTTGGTGCCTTCAGATGTGCCATGCATCCTACAGATTTTGCCTTGGTTTTTCCTTTCTTTTTTTTTTTTTTAAAAAAGAATTCTAGCGTTCTTAGCTGCAGAACAAAAATTCGGAAGACTCTTTTACTGTAGTTTGTTGGAGTTTCTACTCCTGGAGAAGTCTCTGAAGCCAGAGGTAGGCCCTGTCAAGGTGGAGGCAGTCCCAGTCTCTCCTCCCTTGCCAGCTGACTACTGTTCCTTGCCTGCCTCTCCACATCTCACTCTGTTTGCCCCATGGCCCTTGCCAAAAGTGTCAGATGCCTTGGACGCAGAGGAGCAGCTTGGTGTGTGTAAGTCGCTCCTGCACTGTGTGGCTCCCTTGGCCAGTTGTGGGTGCTCTGCTTTGAGCTCTTTCACCTCTCATGGCTGTGAGACAGGAGCAGCCAGTTGGTTCTACCCTGTGGAATAAACGTAGGGTGAATGGTGGATAATTACCTCACGCGACCCTCTCCCTGGAATTTGCTAGGCTTTGGCAGCAGGCATACAATGAATTATGGCCAGATGGTGCCCCGCCACCAGCTTGACTCCTGAGAAGGAAGGTTTATGGCTCTCCCAAGGAAGACTTCAGCCTGGCTTGGATCTAATTTTGAGGACTGAAAATCCAAAGCCCAGTAAGCATATGTGGGCCAGGAGCTGGATAGATGTACATGCGTGGTGTGTGGACATGGTTTCCCAAGTTGCCACACTGGGGCTCCCAGGCAGCCAAACAAGTGCACAGACCATTCATTCAGCAACTCTGCATGTATCTCTCCAATCCCAAGACTTGAGTATTGGGTATCTTCTGAGAGTGGAAATCGTTGCCCTAAACCCTTTTGCAGCACAGATGGGAAAGCTCCAGAGACCTCGGCTCAGGCCCGTGAGGGGTGAAGACAGGCTCGGATGATAACCTGGCTGTCACCTTCAGGCATGTGGTCTCTAACCAAACCTCAGCAGAGTTCCTCTCCAACCAAGCCATGTCCTGTTAACACAAGGATCACTGCCCAGGTGGTAGCACCAAGCATGGCATGAATCTTGCGCAGTGGTGAGCACTTGTCACTTCCTGCTTTGAAATAAATTAGACCAGCATTCTAATGCAAGTGCTGTGCCTTGCAGAAGCAGGAGTGGCTCTTTGGATACAGCAGGGCTGTCTTTTGCACAGTTGGGGGGGGGGGGAAGAGCCCTAAAACTTTAGTTAGTGTAATGGCTTCTCTGCTAGCAGAAGTGGACGCATGCCAGTACATCTAGCAGCATGTTGGACTGCTCCAGTAGTTGTGGAAGCAGAATTCTTGGTGGGTCTAGTCTGCCCTTCCCTGCTTGCCCAGAAATGTCTTCTAACAGGTGGATTGAGCAGGTGGATGCCACAGTTCCAGCTGTGGAAAGGCTGGCCAAACGGCTTGGGGGAGTGCCTTGACCCAGGAGGCAGTGGGGTTGGCCCAAACTGCAGATAGGCAGATCAAGAGGAATGGGGAGGGGCCACAGCTCATTGGTAGAGCATCTCCTTGGCATGTAGAAGGTCCCAGGTTCAGTCTCCAGCGTGTCCAGTTGAAAGGACCAGGTAATAGGTGATGGGAAAGGCCCCTGCCTGAGACCCTGCAGAGCAGCTGCCAGTCTGAGTAGGCAATACTGACCTTGATGGACCAAGGGTCTGACTCCGTATAAGGGAACTCCGTGCATGTGTTCATGTAAGAGTAGTGCAAGACTACAAACCTGTATTAGGTGTGCGGATTAAGGACTTCTGATTATTTTTATCACTTATTCTGTCATTTTCTCAGAGGCGCTGGTGCCACCTCCCCCAAGAATCACGGCCTGTTGCCCTTTTAGCTTCTGACACATCTTTACAGCCTAAAGACCTTTGCACTTGAAAGAGGCTTTGAGTGGTGGGCCGTGTGAATGGCCTTTGAGTTGTCCACGATGGAATAGAGAACACCTCTGTTGAACCTGGAGCTTTATTCTTAAGGCTGCCATTGGGCATCCCGAGGGTCTTTCTCCCGTTTTTGTGTTGAAGCCGTATTTCTTTCTCCGGTGGCTGCCCAGAAAGGAGGGCAGGGATGGCAAACGGCTGTTGTAGGAGCCAGAGCCACACACACACACACACACACACACACACACACAGAGGGTGCCCAGGTGTAGGGGAGAAGAGGGGTCATTTTAAAAATACATTGGGAATGAGGAGTGGGACAGAGTAAAGCCAACCTTGTGGTGGCAGGTGCAGCTGAAACGTTTTGATCTGCCTGGCAAATCGGATCTCGCATGGCCAGTTGTCTCCTCTTGGGCAAGAATCCCGTATGGCCCCATCTACTTTCTAAAAACACTTGGTGGGCACCAGGAGAGGTGTTGGTGACCCCTGGCTTAGGGCAAAGCAGTGAGGAGGGAACCGATTGCACCACATTGGTTTGGATCCAGCCAGAGGAAGCCCAGGAGGGGATGGATGTACCCTGCTTATCATGACAAAATATCTTGGCACTGGCCCTACAGAGGCCAGCAAAAGCACCTTGCCCTTGTCAGCTGTTAGCAGCTGGTCCCTCCTACATGTGAGCTATGCACATTCTGCATTGTTCTGAGTACAGCTCAGTTGTTGGAGAACCCTTTTCCACGGCCTGACAATAGAATGAGTCTCTTGTGCTGGCGTTCCGCAAATGGCAAGTTTTGGAATGTAAATCTCACTTCCCCTCAAAAAAGTTTTAACTGTGTCCGCTCTTCTCTGTGTTAATTCTGGCTCTGGTTTTGCCCTTTCCACGTTCTTGCTGAAGGTTCTTTATGATAATTGGCTACCGGTTGTGGGTGAATTCTTTGTGTGGCCGTGGAGATGCTGCCGGACAAGGTGTTGTTCAGATGCGTTACCCCTTCTGGCCACCTCTCATGGGTTTGGGGATGTGGTAACTTTGAATGCTGCCCTACAACTGGTAGGGCTGTGGGAGTGGCTTCCGTGTGCCAGCATAAATCCAGATGTCACAGACCTGACCACAGCTGTTACACTTGTCAGCATTTTGCATCCGTTGTTTAACCTGGCACTCCATGATGCAGCCTGCAGTCTCTAGAGAAAAGTATGACTTCTTATTCCAAAGACGATAATACTGTAAGTCAGCACGTGGGCCCTCTGCCGCCTCCAATGGGACGAATGTCCTATTGATATTGTGTTCTCCCTCAGCTTGTCGGCTCTTTTCTCAGATGTAAAGTGGCACCTTTACGACCAGGTGCAACCTCTCTTGAAGAGTCCTGGGCATTGTTTATTTGGGAAGGGCTCCTGATGAGTAATCGGAGGTGGGGCCAGAGTGGAGGATGTGTTTCTGAGAGCCACCTAGCTATGGCTGCTGCAGGCTGCTTGCTCCACCGTGCCTGGCTCTTGTGTCTGTCTGTTGTTTTTAATCAAGTCCGTGCTGACTGTGATCAGGTGTCCCACAATAAATCTTCCCAAATCAGCTATGAGTGGCCACTTCTTGTGTCTCTGCATCAGTGATGTGCTTGCCTTTACTGACGTCCATTAATCCATCAAAGGAAACTGGCTCCAGAGGCGGCCATTTTGGTCCCTCCTTTGGCTTCCTGTCCTAGCACCCAGTCCCTTTTGTCTCCATCAGCTGCCTCTGTGGATCTCTGGGGCCGTGAAGACCAGCCTGTGCCTGGTCCCTCAGCAGCACCATCCTGAACTGAGTTACACCCCTTTAATTCCATGGTTTTAGAAGGGTGTGATTCTGTTTAGGATAGCTACCCTCTCCAGGATAGTTTGTGGTGAGAACTGGAACTACTGGATTTGGTCAAAGGTGGTTTGTACAAAGTGGGTTGATTTTAATATTGGGTCAATCAGATCTTTTAACTTTAATACAGCACTATCATGGTAATAAAACCAAAGTATTTAAAATTCAGTATAGATGATAGTCCTTAAAGAAATGTCAGGCAATCTCAAATACACTTCAAAACTCAATGCAATCCAAGTAAATGTTACTAATGCATCAGCCTACAGGTCGAATTATTCACAGTGAGTTGTGAGAGACCATGAAGTCCCATAATGGCTACAGATCAGATCTCTCTGAGTATGATGGACGTCCTTTACATTAAACAGGACAGCTGTCTGCCACTTATTGTTAATATCTCAGTCCTCAGTTCTGAAGCAGTCATTCCTGTTCTCCCCCTTTGTAAGAAAATAACTTTGACCTCAGACTTCAGTTGCCAAATCCCCGAGTGTAAAACAGAAAAATCTAAGCCTACTGCCAGTAAATTAAGCTATTAGCCCCTCCTGTTTCTCCCCTAGCTGACTCAATAATCCTGACTAGCCTTGAAGCTTGCCAAAGCTCAAAAGCTAACCAGGGTCAGCCTTGGCTGGTATTTGAATGGAAGACCTCCAAGGAATACCAGGGTTGTGATGTGGAGGCAGGCAATGGCAAACCATCTCTGAACATCTCTTGCATTGAAAACTATGGGGTCCCCATAACAGTTGAGACTCAGTGGCAAAAGAAACCCCTGGTTACTACTTGGACTGGGGTTGCTGTGCAGAGTCAGGCAATGGCAAACAACGTCTGTTCGTCTCTCGCCTTGGGAACTCCATGTGTGGGAGGGGTACCTAAGTCATTTGTGACTTTATGGCACATTATTAATAATAATTATCATTCCTCCTGCTTTACAAAAAACAACCATGGGCATTCTTACAAAGCAAAGAGCACCCCAAGAGGTTTGGTCTTCCCAGTCAGAGTTACACCCAAAATAAGTAAACTACAGTTTAGGGCGTCAGATTATGAAAAGCAAAAAATGCTTTTTTGGGGGGGGGGGTTAAATTTCAAGTCCCACACATTTTTCTTGTAGTGGTATGGGTTCTCTTAAACTTGACCCAGTATAGGGCTCTGTGTGTCTTAATCTGGCCCTGTTTCCAAGGCTTGTTCTTGGTGCCCTTGCAAGCTGAAAAGGACAGCTCTTTGCAAGCTCAAGAGCACAGCACGCTTGCTGCTGCTTGCTGCCAGTTTTTCCAAGTTTATTTTGGAGATGCAAAGAGCATGCAGTTGCCCCAGTTCCTTATTCAGGGTGTCATCCAGTATAATTAGAGAGGCTTCCTGGAGCATACGAAATAGAAGCTCTTAAGGAGGACCGTATGATTTGAGGCTTATCTTTGAGTACAGCTACCCCCAGTTTCTTAATCAATTTTCCCGGGGGGGGGGGCAGCCTGGTTTGGAACAGTTAGCTGTTGCGCAGGTCCCCTATAGAGCAGAATCCCCTGAAGGTCAAGCGTGTTTGATTTGTAGGGGCCCCAAGCATATGTCTGGGTGTAAAGAAAATTTTTGAAGTATCAATATTTGTGGTTGGATTCACAGGTAAAGAACTAGGAAGTGCAAATAAGGACCTGGGAACCAACTATAGTGTCCTGTTGTTCGGGGTCTCTTTCTCCTCTCTATGCAATTCGACAGGAGCTATCTTGAACCTGAGGGCATTAATTCCTTGAAAAGTTAGGAGGAAGATGAAGTTACACATAGGGATGTTTGGCCATTTAAACTGATGTCAAGGCCACCCAACTACAATAATGACCCCAAACATGATATTCAGGAATCCGAGCAAAAACTTCTAATGAGCCAAACACAAATACAATTTCTGTGCACGGCCCTAAGGTTTTGGGACAGCAAGATCCTCTTTTGGGGGGAAGGTTCAGCCTCTGTATTCATCTGCAGATCTCTGGGAGTTCTTCTGTCTGCATCCAAAACATCAAGGTGGAAGTCTGCCAAGTGACTCTTCTCCCCAGCTTTTAGATCGCCGCTAACAAAGATCCGGAGAGTGATTTCAGCAAAAGTGAACAGCTTTATTGAAGGTTCGAACAAGCGCTTGAATAAGTCATAACCAGAACAGATTAACATTGGGAGCTAGGCTCCTTTTAAACATTCCCGGGCTAACCTTGCCACGCCTACTTTTTTTTTTTTAAGTACCCATAGGTACCAATGAGGTTGTACAGATAAAGTCCAATGAGCGTTCTTCCCTCGCAGGGAATTAGTCCAGTCCTGATTGGTCGCTGTTGTGGAGTGACCAATGGTAAGTTAGCTCGGAGGAGCCTGCCTTGTCATCAGTCTTTTCCGAAGACACCACACCAGCAGAGACTGAAACCAGGGGAAAACGTTACACATGTTAAAGCTGTGTCCGGGTGCCCAAGCAGGAAGTTCTTTTGGGCGGTAGAACATGACCACAATGCTGTCCCCAAAAAAATTATTAAAAGTAAAGCCAAAGAGACTTCGGTTGTGACTTTAATGATAAGTTTAGAAGTAGCATTTTTTTAGTTTTAGGACCTAGTTCAAAAGAATCCTGCTTTGCTTGTGGGTCTGATTCCTAAATGCCACAATAAGCAGCCTAATGTAGTATAGTGATTGTTATTTTATTTTATTTTTTAATTTATTTATTGATTTTCTATACAACAATACACAACAGTCAAAAATACGTCCAATAAAAATGTTAAGGTGCATAAACACGTTACACCGTCTTTCAAATCACAGTCTTCCAATACACAATACACAACAAAAACATAAACTTTAAATTAACAATAAAAT